GCGGAGGGAGAGGGAAACGCATGGCGGGCAGCGGGAAGGCCCCGTCCCATGCTGCAGCCTGCGGGCGCCTTAACCCCCATGCTGCCTCCGCGCGCTGCTCCGCCCACCACCCCACACGCACCACCCAGCGCGACCTCCGTGTCGTTAGGGCTGCCGGCGGGCGGCAGCAACAGAAACTAATGCAGTAAACTACGCTTCGCGCGGCGGCGCACCGGGGGTGAAGGAGGGGGAGGCCATTTGGCTCTTCATGATGGACCGGCAGAACAGGCCCCGCCCTCGCACCAGGTTCTCCCCAAACACCTGCAGCCGGGATGTTGGCACGGAGGGCGCTAGCGTGAGGCAGGGCGGGGATCAAGCCACGGCGGAGGGGCAGGCGTGGTAGGGGCCGAGGAGGGCGGGCAGGCAGCGGCGCGGCCGGCAGCGGCGGGGCCGGCAGCGGCGCACACGCAACGTGGCAGCCCAGCAGCGACTGCCGGCACTCAGCTGCGACGCAGCGGCGGCCGCAGCCGCAGCGGGCGGCAGCGACAGGGAGTGCAGCAGCGCCGGCAGCAGCAGGGGCAGGAGGCGCAGCGGGGGCAGCAGCAGGAGCAGGAGGCGCAGGAGGCGCAGCAGGGGCAGCAGAGGCAGCGCACCTCTGGCAGGATGTGCTTGATGTTGGCGGCGTTGACTTTGTTGACTAGGCCGTTGATGGACTTGCGCAGCGCGTCCCAGGTCATGCGTTGGTACTGCGGTACGGGAGCGGTACATGTACAGAATGGGAGGCGGTGCGGGTAAGGTACTGGGGCAGTACGGGTCAGGCATCGGCGCTAGGGATGCGCAGGCAGCGCGGAGGACAGCCGTGCGAAGGGAGGGGTGCAGCGGAAAACGCCGGCCAGCCGGCGGCCTGCTGCCGGCGCTCGGCTGCCGGCCGCGCACGGAGCCACGCCCGGCGCCGGCGGCGAGCGGCGGCAGCGCGGCCGACGGCGCAGCGGAGCGGCGGCGGCAGCCCAGCCCTGCACGCCGCACGCACCTGGGCAGACTCCCTGTCAGCCGCCTCTGCCATCATTTGGGCCAGCTTGAAAGGCGGGATGTAGACGCCGCCCGCGGGCCCCGCCGCCACCGGCTTTCGCTCCCGCGGCTCGGGTGCTGCGGCCGGCGCCGCGGCCTCCGCTGGCGGTGCCGCCTCCGCCGCCACGCCGTTGCGGTCGCCTATCTGCCTGCGGTCTGGCCCCGGTCCGTTGCGCACGGGCCTTTCATCGCCGTCGCCGCGGTCCACGCGGCGGGGTGGCGGCGAGCGGCCGCGGCGGGGCGGCGAGGGCCGGCGGTCGCCCCAGCGCCCGCCACCGCGAGGGCCCTCATCCCTCCTCCGGCTGCGGCTGCGGCTGCGGCTGCGGCGGCGGTCGTCGCCCCTGCTGCGCCGCCGGTCCTGGCTGCGGCTACGCGAGCGAGAGCGGCGGTCGCGGCTGCGGCTACGGCTGGTGCTGGTGCTTCGGCTGCTGCGAGATCCCCTGCAGCAGGAGGAGCACGGTTAAGTGGCAGCAACCACAGGGAGGGTGCAGAGCGACGGCCAAAGGTGCGGCAGCTCCTTCCCGCCGCCGCCGCCACGGCCACCGCCACCCTACCTGCTGCGGCTGCTGCTGGTGCTCCTGCTCCTGCTGCGGCTTCTGCTGTGCCCCCGGCTGCGGCTCTTGTCGTCGTCACTGCAGGGCGGAGGGTGTGGCCTCAGTGCAGGTGGCATCGCCCTCGCCCGGCCCGCATCAACATGGGCCGTGCGCCGGGTCGCCTGGCCGCGACAGCCAGCGCCCACTGGGCACGCCAACTCCCCCACAAGCCACGCTGATCGAGGGGCCCCACCTGCGGCTGTCGTCCTTGCGCCGCTTAGCGCTGGGACTGGAGTCCCTGGAGGGTGAGCGCTTGCCCATGGCGCCTGCTAGCTGTGAACGAACCCTCTGCGCTGTTCCCCCACTCAGGCCTGCTCCATCACCGCGCTGTTGAGGCTGGCGGGTGTCCCTCGGGTTGTGTCGATGGGCGCCGATGGCGATGCGGTTGCTGCTGCGCGGTAAAGGTCGGCCCAGGAGGCGCATGATGGTACACCTTGTACTGCTGGGTCTCTGGGACGTCAATTCGCGCTGCCCAGGCGGCCAGCGATGTCGTGGATGGTCGATCGGTTAGCCTGCGGATCCACGCGACGCATCGCCACCCCTGCACGCTAGGCGTCTGGTCCTCACCCGAAACCGCAAGTTATCTGGGTCTATGTCTCCCTGCCCATCAATCCACAACATGTCTGCCACCGGCCGCCAGGCGGCGCAGGGGCAGCAGGCAGCCTGGACGCGGGGCCGGCGCCGCGCCGCGGCCTTGCCGAGCTGCCCGCCCGCCCGACGCCAGCCGCTCCGCCGGGGCTGCGTGGCGCCGCCCACGCAGGCCCTCTTCCAATCCATCCTCAAGGACCTCCCCATGTTTGGGGGCAGCTCCAAGGAAGACAGCAGCAGCGGCCTGGTGGAGCGGCCGCTGTACCGTCCGCAGGAGATGCAGCAGATGGGTCCCTTCAAAGTGTCGCCCATGGGCTTTGGCACCTGGAGCTGGGTGCGCCGCCGCTGCTGGCCGCTGCTGCCGCCCCTTGCAGTGCTTCTGACAGAACTGGAATCGACGGCAGGCTTCCCTGGGCTGCCGGTGTGCCCTCCCCATTCCCCGCATCCAGCCCGGCCCGCCACCACCGCCGCCCGGAGCGCTGCCCTGCAGGGGAACAAGCTGCTGTGGGGTTACGACGAGTCAATGGATACGGAGCTGCAGGTGCGGCAAGCTGGGCGGCCTCGCTGCAGCCGCCTGGACCGCCGGCGTGGCATCGCTGCCGCTTGCCTGCCTCGCCTGTGGGCCCTCCCTGCAGCCGTCCCGCTTGCACCGCACCAGGTGCACCATGCAAGGCGCTGGGCAGCAGACTGAGGTTGCATCCGCGCGTTGCTGCCTCCCCGCCGTGCCCTCCCCAGGAGGTGTTCAATGTGCTGGTGGCCTCAGGCATCAACCTGTTTGACACAGCAGACAGCTATGGTGGGCACGCACGCACTTGCCAGCTGCATTCAATGGGCTCGGCAGATGGGCAGCACGGCTGGCTGGAGGGGGCGTGCCGAGCAGCTGCAGCGTACTGTCCGGCCGACCATGCGCTCATGCGGTCCCACCGCCGCTGCTGCAGGCACGGGGAAGCTCAACGGGCGTAGCGAGCAGCTTCTGGGCCGCTTCCTGAAAGAGTATCCGGGGTCTCCGCAGGCAGCAGCCAACGTGCGGATCGCCACCAAGCTGGCCGCCTATCCCTGGCGCCTGGCTCCCTCCCAGGTGCGAGGCGGCGGCGGCGTGCTGGCCGGGCCTGCGCTCTGCTGCCGACACCAGCAGCAGCAGCAGCAGCAGCAGCAGCTGGCGGCGCCGTCCCATGCCCTGCTGCCCGCCCCTGCCCGCGTCTCGCCTGGCCGCAGTGGGTGGGCGCGTGCCGGGCCAGCCTGCGGCGGTGCGGCGTGGAGAAGCTGGCGTTGGCGCAGCTGCACTGGTCCACAGCCAAGTATGCGCCGCTCCAGGAGCGGCTGATGTGGGATGGGCTGGTGGCCATCTATGAGGAGGTGAGTGAGAAGGGAAGGTGGCTGGCTGGCCAGGGTGCGGCAGCCGCGCAGGCAGGCAGCCCTGGTGTTCCTCCTTTCGAAGCAGCAGCAGGCGCAGGCGATGGTCAGGGCAGCAGACAGGCTGGAGGGCAAGAGGGCCAGAGGCATGGCCGCGCGCCGTGACCGCCGTGACCGCCCTCACATGCCCGCCGCCGCTGCCTACCGCCTGGGGCGCCACACACGGCTGCCGCCTGCAGGGCCTGGTGGATGCAGTGGGCCTGAGCAACTACGGCCCCAAGCAGCTGGCCAGGATCGGGGCGTACCTTGACAAGCGGGGCGTGCCGCTGGCGGCGGTACAAGTGCAGTACTCGCTGCTCAGGTGTGTGTGTGTGTGTGTGTGTGTGTGTGTTCTTCTTCTTTTCGTCTTCTTCTGTTGGTGTATGCATGCGTGGCGCCCGGTTAGAGGTGTGCACTGTGGTGTGTGGGGAGCAAGGGGCGCCAGCTCAGGTCAGCGAGGCGCTCCGCGCCAACCCCCTCCCGCGTGTGCCGCTGCACGGCCGATGCCTCGTGCCGCGCCGGCGCCCGAGCCCTGCCCTGCCCTGCCCTGCCCTGCCTGCAGCCGCGGCCCGGAGCAGGCATCTGTCAAGGCGGCATGCGACGACCTGGGGGTGGCCCTCATCGCCTATTCGCCACTGGCCTTGGGTGCGGCACGTGCTGGCAGGCAGCTGTCTGTGTTCCTCGCGTGCTGTGTGCTGTCTCGAGCCGCATGCTTCGCTGCTCTCTGCGTTGCTGCTGGGGCTGCTATAGTCGGTACATGCCACGCCGCGCCGCCGCGGTTGCGTCACAGTATGGGGGCCGCGCTCGACAGCATGCTGAGGCCGCGCTGTGGTCACGCTGTGCAGGCATGCTGACTGGGAAATACAGCGCGGAAGACCCCGGCAGCCTCCCGGGCGGGCCCCGCGGCCTGGTGTTCAGGCAAGCTGAGCGCGGCCCTCCGGTCCGCTGCGGGTGTGGCTGTCGCCTGCAGGCAGCCACTCGATCGCCAGCTGTCGCCGGGCATCTCGCCGCCAGCCCTGCACGCTCCTCTGACCGGCCAGCCACCCGGCCCGCCGCACCTGCAGGCAGGTGCTGCCGGGGCTGCAGCCGCTGCTGGAGGTGATGGGGGAGGTGGCGGCGCGGCGGCGCAAGACGCTGTCGCAGGTGGCAATCAACTGGTGCATGTGCCAGGTAGGCCTGTGGCCTGCCGCCGCCACCCCTCGGCGCGGCCCGCCGGCACGCTTCCCTGGCGGCCTGCTGGCGGCCAGCCACAGCTGCCACGGGAGCTGGGCCGCGGTGCCCAGCAGCTGTGCGTGTTGCGGGTGGCTGAAGCCCAGGGCCCGCCAGATGTGCATGCATGCCGACCTGCAGACCTGCCTGCTTGCGTCTGGCGGCCCGCTGCGCCCGCCCTGCAGGGCACGGTGCCCATCCCAGGCGCCAAGGACCTGCGGCAGGCGACGGAAAACCTGGGGGCGCTGGGGTGGCGGCTGAGGTGTGAGCAAGGGTGTGGCAGGCACCGCCCTCGGCGCCGTCCACGCATACTCTTCCTCCTCGCCGCCGCCTGCCCAGCTCCCACGCTGCTGGGCCTGCCCCCTGCCAGCGCCCCGGCCTGGCTGCATGTGCACGCGGTGCTGTGCTGTGTGGGTGCGCCTTTCTTTACTGTTCGGCGTTCCCTGCTCAGTGCTTCATGCCCCTCCCGGTGCTGCCGCCGCTGCAGCGACGGCGAGGTGCGGGCGCTGAGCGAGGCTGCAGACCGCGTGCCCAGGGTCATGGTGCAAAACATATTTCAGACCAAGTAAGGCGGCGGCGGCGGCGGTGGCGGCGGCAGCGGTGGCGGGACGGGCTGATCGGCACCTCTCAATGACATCGACGTGGGCGGCTACCCGCGTGCTGCGCTTCCCGCCCTGCCTTGATGCCTTGCCGTCATGTTACATTGAGTTGGTCACTAGTGCAAAGGCAGAGCAGCCGCTGGCTTTGCTTTGGCGTAGCAGGGCAAGTGAGGGCAAGGCCTGCCGCTCACCGCCGCCAGGCGCGCACGGCAGGCAAGAGGGTGCTCAACCAGCGACAGGCATCCTGGTGCTGGCTCCCTCCAAGAGTTTGAAATTCAGTCGGTTGGCATGCTAAGTGGGGTCCTTCCAAGCCGCCAATGCAACAGAAATCTGGGGTGTATGCATGGTTGCCGCCTCAGCAGGGCCCGCCACTCGCCACTCAGCCCCGCACCCAGCGCGACAGGAAGAGGCCGCCTGCCGCCAAGGTGGAGGCACAGGCAGGCCAGGGTCAGCCGTCCAGATGCCAAGGCGCACGGCACGGCACGGCACGGTCTTGTCTCAGGCCATCTGTCGGCCCCCCCTGCCGCTTGCTTTTGCGCCTTGTGCGTGGGGGGGTACCCAAGAGGCGACATGCACCCCCATCTCACCCTGTATGGAGAAAGCCAGTCCTGCGATGAGGGTGACCAGGATGGCAAAGGCGCCCGCCTTGCTCTTCAGCCCCAGCCGCCCCTGCAGCCGCTCCATGAGGCGGTCCATGAAGGGGGCCAGGGCGGCGGCGCCGGCCAGGCGGAAGGGCCGCGTCACGTTGTTGCCCGCCCACCTGCGGGCGGCCGCAAGGGTGTGTGAGGGCGAGGCGGGGCGCCGTGGTGCAGCTGCAGGCCGATGCATGCCGCCGCGTGCAGCAGGCGGCAACCGCCGCCTCACATCAGGATGCAGATCTTAACAATGTCTGCCACGTTCTGGGTGGGGTTGAGCCCCGTGCGGGCCTCGTAGCCCAAGAAGGCCAGGCTGAACGCAATGGTGTATGTCATGGCATCAAAGATGCCTGCAGGCGGCACTGGTAGGGAGGCCTCTGAGGAGTGGCAGCCCCTGCAACAAGAAAAGCGTGCGCCTCCCCGCCTCCCCAGCTCACCATAGGACAGCGCCGCCGCCAGTCCAAGCGAGGCCAGCCGCTTCCGCAGATCCGCTGTGCGCTGCTGCTGCGCCCGCAGCCAGCCCCACAAGCCGCCACCGGTGTAGGTGCTGGGCGGTGCGTCTGTCGCCGCTGGCCTTGGCGAGGCCACCTGCCCATCAGGCTCATGGATCGCTGGCGTCGAGGCATCGCTACCGCTGCTGTCAGGCACGGGCATGGAGGCCGCTGAGGCCAGCAGCGACAGGCGGCGGTGGCGGCGGCTGATGGTTGCTCGGCGGCAGCGGGGTGGCTGTGGTGTCGCTGCCGCTGGCTTGCAGGCGCATGCCGGATGCACATCCCACCCCGGGATCACGCTCCGTTGCGCTGCGTGCATCCCTGAGGACGGGCCCGCCTGCCACTTCCGCTGACCGATTTGGCAGCCTACACGAGCGCTGCTCTCGGTGTCTGCTCTCCCAATACACGGGTGTACAGTAGGTTTGGGTTCGCGGCCCAGAAGAAGATGCGGAAGAGGCAGCGAGCGCCACCCATCCGCCGCCGACAGCTCAGCACACGCGACGAGGTCACAAAGAGGAAACAGTCAGTCTTGGCAGTAGAAGTGCTGTTCTCCAGCAGAAAAAGGAAACAAATGCAACACTTGGTAAGACGCTTTGACACTGAGAGCCAGGA